AAAAAAAAAAATCCATGCATAGTGTTTTCATAATATTCACTTTCTATAAACTTTTTAAAGAGTCCTTACATATGATTATATACAGTAAAAAAGATAAAGCAGATCCTCTTGGATATAAGATGAATAAACAAAAATAATAATGATATGATAATTCTTACAGTGTCCTGAAGGACTATAGAAGAAGATGACACATCTTCATTCTATAAACTTTTTAGGGAAACCACACATACCCTAATATAGAAATCTCCTAAAAAAAAAAATCCATGCATAGTGTTTTCATAATATTCACTTTCTATAAACTTTTTAAAGAGTCCTTACATATGATTATATAGCAGAAATCTCTCAAAAAAAATCCATGCATAGTGTTTTCATAATATTCACTTTCTATAAACTTTTTAAAGAGTCCTTACATATGATTATATACAGTAAAAAAGATAAAGCAGATCCTCTTGGATATAAGATGAATAAACAAAAATAATAATGATATGATAATTCTTACAGTGTCCTGAAGGACTATAGAAGAAGATGACACATCTTCATTGAAAGATACAATGAACGATTTAAAGAAACGGAGGAATATACTGTCTTCCTTTAGGCAATAACTAAAATATTGTTGTGATATCATTTTTCTCTAAATCATTTGATAGGATTAGTACAAGGTTCAAATTCCTGTTGTTTCCTTTGTAGAATTGACTAAAATGATTCAGTTTTAACTACCGAGAATAAATTGCAAAAATTCAGAAAATATACTTATTAATTTTTAACTTCTTTATTTTAAGAGAGATTTTTTGCTATAGAGTGTGTGTGTGCAGTTGCCAGAGACACAGAGAGGGACAGAGAGAAAGTGAGAAATCCCCCCACAGGGGGGTGGCCATGCTGCTATCCCTTCCCCACCATTCTCCTCTTGGGATTTTGGGCATGCACGCACACATGTGCCTGGCGTGAGCTTCAAGCCACCAGGTCTGAGATGCAAACCGTGGTTGGCCACCTCTGAGTCCAGCGCCACAACCACTATGCCACCTACTAGCCCCAAGAAAATATTTGAAATACTGTATAAAAGTAATAAACATGGGGAGCCGGCAGGTGGCACCGTGGTTAAAGGCACTGGATTCCCACATTGCCAACTGCAGTTCAAGTCTTAAACCTGGTGACTTGCTTTCTCACTTTCCCTTTCTCTCTCTCTGGTCAAATTAAAAAAATAATAATAATAACAAATGGAATTCAATAAATAAATACATTTTTTAAAAGTAATAAACATGGTCTTATGAATTTGTTTTATTTTTGGAGAGGTTTTTTTTTTTTTGTTATAGGGCACTTATGCTTGCAAGAAAGACAGAGACAGACAGAGAGAGACAGAAGGTGAGAAATCACCCCCCTGGGGGTACGGCCACGCTGCAATCCCTTCTTCTCCATTCTCCTCTTGGGATTTTGGGCATGTAAGCACACGTGCCCAGTGTGTGCTCAAGCCACTGGGTCCAGGACTCGAACTGCAGCCCACTACATGGGAGTCCAGTGACATAGCCATTACACCAGCTGCTGGTCCTAGTCTTATGGATATTGTGGTCTTTTGAAAAAAATCCATGTAGTTATACATTAAAGAAAAGTGCAAATGAGGCAGTGACTATGAAGTCCTTAGTATGGTATATAATAGTCTAATATAAAGACCAGTTTTTTTAATTAAAAAAAAATTAAGGTGGGACCACAGATAGCATAATGGTTGTCACTGGACTCCCGTATAGTCAACCATGGTTTGAGTCTCGGACCCGACAACTTAAAACTCTGGACGTGTGTGTATACATGCCTAAGGCCCTGAGAGGAGAATGGAGAAGGGATTGCAACATGGCCATCCCCCCCGGGGGTGATCTCTCACTTTCTGTCTTTCTCTGTCTCTCTCTGTCTTTCTGGCAAGTGCACACACCCCATAGCAAAACTCTCTCTCTAAAAATATTTTTTTAAGGTATTTGCAGTAGGGCATGTGAGCTTGTTGGATAGAGACAGAGAAAGGGAAAGTGAGAAATTACTCCCTGGAGGGATGCCCACGCCACAATCCCTTCTCTTCCATTCTCCTCCTGGGATTTTGGGCACACATGCACATGCACACAGCATGAATTCAAGCCATCAAGTCTGGGATTTGAATCACTCAGCCACGCGGAGACCAGGTGCCCTAACCACTATGTTACCTGCTGCCCCCTGGAGACCATTATTAATATTATTTTCTTCTTTTCCTTTCCTCCTTTCTTCTTCCTCTTTTTTTCCTTCCTTTTTCTTCCTCCTGTTCTATTCTTTGCCATGCTTTCAGGACAGAGTAGAGAACAAAACATTCAAGAAAATGATATACAAGTCAATCTCTGATCCTCAAACTTGTACCCATCCTGGGTTGCAAATTTTCAGGAATTTCTTCTTTTCTCTTCCCTAATGCAAGAACATCGTTATGTAGAACACCATGTTGTCATGAGAAGATTGTTCGAAGCCTAGAGACTGATCCACTGTTACAGTGTGGCTAGCTTTCAGGAAACAGAAACTCACATACACACAGTGCCTTGACTTTCAAGTCTGTCTTCTGCCTTGGAACATTTCGATTCTTCCTGGATTCTGACAAACTGCAGAAAGGAGCGAATATGCCCTGCTGACAGCTGGATGGCAGGCGTGCTTCCTTAAACCCTAGCAGTGGCTTAGGTAGGTGTATGGCTGTCAGTCCCCACAGGAAACCGCGCTGCCATACCACAGGTGTTCAGATGTCCTTGCAGACAGTGAAGTCAGGTGCCTGTATTTTTAAATACCCTTCGACACAAGCTTTTTCCATGGCATATTCCCATGGAGTGCTATTCTAGAAGATCCGACTAGTGACCAGGCCTCTCCCGCATGGCTCCATATCCTCTAGTTTAAATTCGCAGCTCATGTCAATCTTAATATTTGTTTTGAGTCACATATGCCGGCCTCTAATTTGCAATTTACATGGATGAGGGGGCCCTATTCAAAGCCCTGCTCCTGCAGCCTTCCTGAGGCTCACCTCTCTTCACGCAGTCATTAGGCTGAACAGCATATAATTAGGGAACCCATGTAAAGCTGAGATCTCCAAAAGGTTGCAGTTCTTTGCAAAAAAGTAAGGGTTTTCATTTTTTACCCTTATTCTTTGCTAAACAAAAAGACATTCCCCCCCTGTGGTTTTCATATGAAGGCAGTAACTTAGAAACAGTTAGTCTTGGAGGCGGGTAATAATTTGGGTTTGTTTTCACCTGAGAGCTGGTTTTTGTTTACACAGCTTGCGTTTAACTCAGCGTAGGCCCAGGCAGATTTGCCATCATTTGTACATAAGCGCGCGCCTTTTCAAAGCCAATGAAACTGCCCTGGTTTAAAACCCCTAAAGATTTAAATTTTGCCCAAACTAAATAACTCGGTTTTCAGCTTATTTTCATGTTTCTTTTACAACTTCTATGCCCAAAACTTTCCTGATGTTACTTATTCAGATAAAGCCTATGAAAATATAAATACTGAAGGAAACAAATGTTCTTGCTGAAATTATATTAACTGTGCTTAAGCTGTATCCATTTGTCAAACGCATTCATGATTATAAATGTATATATTTATAAATATATGTATCTATTTATTAAATATAGTCTTGTGGTTAGGCAAATGTGAGGTCATAAGAGAGTAAATAGAATGGATGCGAATGCTTCATTGAAATAAAAAATGCATAGCGAGCCTTTTAAAATATGAATGCCTTATCATCTCTGATACCTCACATAATTTTTGAAAAAAGTAAGAAAGTATGAATGCTTTTTTAAGCCTGCAAGGTTGAAAGGATAATAACAAAGTCCATCAGTATTATCTAGAATATGGGTTCATTGCAGTCAACTGGAGAATTCCTTCAAATTCTTGGAGCCCATTTACTAAGATTCTATAACAGAGGGTTGTGTGTGGGTGGGCTTCAGAACTTAAGTTTTTAATAACTAATTTCTAGATGATTTTTTTTCCTTTTAAATGTTTAGCTGTAGTAATTTTTTAAAGAATTATTTATTTTTATTTATTCATTCTTTTTTTTTCTTTTTTTTTTTTTTTTTTTTTTTTTTTTTGACCAGAGAGAGACACACCCACCCAGGAGAGAGAGAGAGAGAGCGGTAAAGTGAGAAAGCAAGCTGCCAGGTCCGGGACTTGAACCATGGTCAGCCATGTGGGAGTGTCCGGTGCCTTAACCACCATGCCACCTGCTGGTCCCCTCTAGATGATATTACTGCAGAAAGTTTGCAAGTGACATTAGAACTATGGTTTCACACAAAATGTAGGTAATTGTGCATTTTGTAGGTGTCTGGTGGTACATCCTTGTGTTCTTTCTATGCTTTGAAAAAAATGAAGGTAGGTTTTTTAAATGATCATTACTGCACAGTTTGCATTATCAGTTTGATGGAATACATTCTAATAGACAAGTCAGCAGGCCTCTGGAGGTAGCACCAGCTAGAACCACATCTGGCAAACACTGCTTCAGCTCATGACAAGTCTTTTATTGTTGTTAGGTTTTTGCCATAGGGTATTGGCTAAAGAGAGACAGAGAGAAGGAAAGTGAGAAAGCATTCCCTAGGGGTGATGGCTGTGTTGTAATCCCTTCTCCTCCATTCTCTTCTTAGGAGCTTGGGCACACATGCCCAGTGTGATATTTAAGCCACCAGCTCTGGGACTCGAACTGTGGTTGGCTTCATGTGATTCCTCAACCACTATGCCACCTGCTGGCCCTTCCTTGAACTTTTTGAAGACTCTTGTATATAAAATCCTTTAAGATTGGCTTTGTTCTCCCTCTTACAGTTCTTGGGTAGGATACATTCAGCTCAAGTATATTAATGTTAGGGAGACATAGGAATGGTAAAAGAGATATTGTGCTTAAGAATCATTAAAAACATCTTATGGTTGTCTAAGCTCTTAGGGTAAGGATAAATAATATTCTGGATGTGAAAGCAGGTACCTCTGAAATGACTCATTTACTTTTCATTTTTAATCTCTTTGATCAGATTTCTTATAGAAAAGATGCACAGGATACCCATATGTATACTGCAGAGCTCGACAGACCAGATATCAGGATGGCAACTCAGATCTCCAAGATCATCAGCAACGTAATTTGTCTTTCTTAATCTTTTATTTTTAAAAGTGTTTTTCTTTATTCATGATAAGAATGTGTGTGTACATGAGAGAGAGAGAGGAAGGAGAGGGGAGAGCCCTTCATAAGGTCCGGTCATGCCAAGACTCCCTTCGTCTAGTTCTCTAGCCTTTGAGATCTCAGGCACTCCCATGTGTGTGCTATTTCAAGCTGACCAGGATGGGATTTGAACCATGGCTGCCATGTGGGATTCTGCTTCTCTTGAGCAGTGCATCATGGCTGCCCCATGGAGCAAGTCCTTTTTCTTCATCTTAAGCAGAAATGATTTCTTATTTTTGTGGGAGATAAAGCATGGCATTGGTAGTTTGATTCTTAATTTAATTAGTATAATTAATCAGTCTGAATTAATGACATCTCGATTTTTCAATCTATTTAATTATGTAAATTATTTGGGTATGTGTAGAAGCTGCTCAAACTTGACAGTGGCTAGTGTTACGTTCTTTTACAGAAATAAGTGCTATTCAGGTGTTAGACCAGTTTAGATGTCTCAGTCTGAAAGTCAAGGCTGCCAGTCATCTGGTCTCATATAATCTCTCAACTCACCCTTTTCCGAAGAACCTCACTTGGTCTTATTTTTATCCTGTTGCTGTTAGTTGTGAGGATGATTCTTCTTCACCAACATTTACCTTTGTGCTTTTCCTATGTGGCATGGCTGCTTCTTCTCTAAGATACCTTCCATAGTTAGTATCATATTACTTCAACATACCGAGACCCTGGTTAAGAATGATGATTTAACCTGAATCGAACATTGAAATAACATTGGTTAAACTCACCTTAGAAACAGCAATTACTGGCCCAGCTGTAGTGGTACTGCTGCAGGCTGGGACCACATGGGAGGCCCAGGTTCAATTCCCAGTCCAACCTAAAGGCTGGATATGATGGTGTGCATCTGTAATCCCAGAGACTCAGGAGGCTGAAGCAGGAGAAGTGTGAACTCGAGGCTGGCCTGGGCACCACTGTGAGACTCTGCTACAAAAAGAGCTGGGCATGTTTTTGTGTGTAGTCCCAGCTGGGATGCTGAAGGAGGAGGATTGCAACAGAGTAAGACTGGACCTTAAAAAAAAAAAAGAGGGGTGGGCAGGTGGTGCGGTGGTTAAGACCCACATGGCCAACCCATGGTTTGAGTCCCAGACCAAATTCCTGGTGGAAAATGGATTGTGGTGTGGCCATCCTCACTAGGGAATGATTTCTCACTTTCCCTTTCTCTGCCTTTCTGTCTGTCTCTGGTGAACACACGTGCCCTATGCAAAAACCTAAAAAAAAAAAAAAAAAAGAAGAAATTACTAAATTCAACTCCATGTTAATCAAACATGGTCAGTCTCATTCCCGACATTAAATAAAACCCTAAAAACGATCCATATGAAAAACTCAAGGTCTCAACTATTCAGAAATTTCCCCTGATACACACACACACACACACACACACACACACACACTCACACAATTTCTTTTTTCAGCACTTATGTATAAATACATAGATGATGACTGGACACTTAGATTCAAAATGAGCAATTATTTTATTAAAAAGAGTTTTATTTAAATAATCATACTATAAAATTAACTCCCACTTCAGCAGTCGGTGTTTGAGTATGTGATGTGTTGTAAGGAATAGTTTTTAATTGACTGGGGATATATTTTATTTTAGCTAAAGTCAATGTAATTGTTCTTGGAAAGTAGGAATATTTAACATTATCTTATTTATTCATTTTAGGCAGAATACAAGAAAGGGCAAGGAATAATGCATAAAGAGCCTGCTGTGATTGGAAGACCTGATTTTGAACATGCTGTGGAAGCTTCTAAACTTTCTAGTCAAGTAAGACTCCAGTGATGACTCCACAATGACTTTATTCAGAGATTTCATTTCTAGCAGCACAGGAAAATATTTCATTTTAGATAATATCTTTAATTATGGGAATAAACAGAGATAATGTTTCTGAAACCATTTCAGATAGGATTGCAATAATTATAAATTTCAGTAAAGGAAAAAAAAATTAAGTCTAATATTAAGCAGAGAACAAAGTTTTCTTTTCTCCAGGCTCAAATTCTAACCATTTTCAATGACTTTGGCCATGTTGTCAGATTTCCCAGGATTTCCTGAGGTCTGCTGTAGTCATACCAAATCATTCTACTTATACATACACACACACAATTTTAAAGTTAGCAATAAAAAATATACATTTTCTAGATTTTTAGGTAAATCACAAAATTAAAAGGGAATAATAAAAATGGAGAAAACTTTGAAAATGTATTGAGGAATATAAAATCTTAAAGAGTCTAGACTTGTGTTTTTGGCTGAAGTCTCAATAGGTAAACATTTTAGTCTTCAAGTATTATTGTATAAACATATAATTTAAACTAGAATCCAACAGAGTTATTTATTTATTTTTTTTAAAAGATGCATACAATAATCTTAAAGTCTGTGTGGAAAGGGAATGATTGAAATAGTTTTTCTTTTTTTTTTGTTTTAAAGAAAGATTTTTGCTATAGGGCAAATGTGCTTGACTGAGAGACTGATTTATCTCTAGAAAGTGAGAAATTACTGCTCAGGGGAAATGGCCATGTTGCAGTCCCTTCTCTCAGGATTTTGGGCATGCATGCACACATGACCAGCATGAGTTTTAAGCTACCAGGTCCTGGACTTGAACCGTGGTTGGCCATGTGGGAGTCCAGCACCTTAACCAGTATGCTGTCTGCTGGCCCTAAGGATAGTTTTGAAATTATGAAAGTGAAGTTCAGTGAAGGGAAGTTATGAATTACCATGAGAAAATAGAAAATCACTGAAATTAAATCAGTTTGGGATTGGTATAGCAAAAGATAAAATAATCAGTAGGATAGAGTAGAGTTGGTGGTGTGGTGTCAGAAGACAGATGTCTGACAGCAGGGACTCTGCGCAATGGGATATGAGGACAGATGTCTGGCAGCAGGGGCTCTGTGCAGTGGGGTATGGACCGCGAACATCAGCTGGAATGTCGGCATTTAGATGCTGCTCACTGACGAGTGATTCTGTTTGTATTGATTTTGACCATGGGCCCCCGCTTAGCAGAGTAGGAGTACCGAGCATACGAGGAGTCTTCAAGGAGTTCATGGAAAATGCAGTATTCTGAAAAAACCATGTGGGGGCCAGCAGGTGGCTTGGTGGTTAAGGCACTCAATTTCCACATGGCTGACCACAGTTTGAATCCCGGACCTGGCAGATTGAAAATCACACTAGGCATGGTACATACCCAAAATCCCAAAAGGAGAATGGAGGAGAAGGGATTGTGGTGTGGCCATTCCCTCTCAGGGGTGGTTTCTCACTTTCCCTCTCTCCGTTTCACTCAGGAGAGTGTATGCACCCTATAGCAAAAATCTAAGACAAACAAAAAACTATGCGTGAATTTCAGAATTTTTTCATGCCAAAATAAACTCATACTTCGGTTATATTTTCCCACAAGCTGTTAGAAATCTTCTTGTGTGTATGTGTTTATGTACACACACACACCACCCACACATGGGGCATTCAAAAAGTTCATGGAAAATGCATATTATGAAAAACATAATAGGCTTACATAGATTTCAAATTTTTTGCATCAAAATAAACTCATACTTTAGTTCTACAAACTTTTTGAAGTCCCCCTTATGTATGTGTATATATACTTTTTTTTTTTGAGGGCACATGTGCTTGCCAGAGAGAGAGAGAGAGAAGAGAAAACATCCCCCTTGGGGAATAGTCACGCTACAATCCCTTCTCCGTCTCTCCCTGCCTTCAGGATTTGGAGCATGCACACACACACACCTGGTGTGTTTTTCAAGCTTCTGGGTCTGAAACTTGAACCTTGAGGTTGGTTTTGTGGGAACTGGCTGCTGCAACCACCAGGGCATGGGGCCGCCTCTTCAGCTTTTTATTGTTGTAAAATATGTGTGACATAAAATTTGCCATCTTTGCCATTTGCTGGCAGGTGGCGTGGTGGCTAAAGGCGTTGGATTCCCACATGGCTGACTGGTTCAAGTGCCAGACCAGGAGGCTTGCTTTCTCACATTCCCTTTCCCTCTTTCTCTGTCTCTCTCTCTGGTCAAATTAAAAAAAATAATAATGATAGCAAATGGAATTAAATAAACACATATTTTAATGATTTATTTGTATTTACTTTTATTGCCAGAAGACACTTCTGCTTGCCAGAGAGAGCAACTTCCCAACAAGGTGTGGTTACGCCAGATCCCTTCTCCATTTCTCCGACCCATCAGGATTCTGGGCATGCACTCACATGTGGCAGGCATGTTTTTCAAACCTCCAGAGCTGGGACTAAGACTGCATTTGGCCCTGTGGGATCCAGCTTTCTGTGCACAGTGCTTAACCCCTGGCCGCCAAGCTGGCCCTCAACCGTTTTTCAGTGTGTGGCTCAGTGGTGTTGGATACATTTGCCATACTGTGTGACGCCCATCACTACCGTCCAGCCCCACAACGCTGTCCTGTCTGTAAAAGTGAAGCTCTATACCTCCTAAGTAATAGCTTCCCCAGCCCCTTCCTGGAATAATGTGCTCTATACAGGAAGTGGTGGGCCGGCTGGTGCTGCGGTGGCTAAGGTGGCTGGGTTCCATCTGATTGACTAAGCAGGTGGAGTCCTAACCTGGCAGCTTGATAAACAGTGGGGTACATATGCCAGTGTGCCCAAAATCCCCAAAGGAGGGGGGGACGGAGGAGAAGGGATCACACCCTGACCATGCCTCATGAGGGGCGTGCTTGCTTGCTTTCCCTTTCTCTCCGTCTCTCTGTGTAAAGCCTTTGGCAAGTTAGAAAAAGAAAAAGAAGAAATGGCAAAGAGAAAAAGTTACTTTGGAATGTAACAGTGGGGAACATTTTTTAGAGTTGAATTTAAAAAAGGAAACATCAGACCTAATTATTGCCCTTTTTTTTTTTTGAGAGGTTTTCGCTATAGGGCGCGTGCGCTTGCCAGACAGACAGAGACAGAGAGACAGAAAGCGAGAAATCACCCCCCAGGGGGGATGGCCAGGCTGCAATCCCTTCTCCGTTCTCCTCTCGGGATCCTGGGCACGCACGCACATGTGCCCGGCGTGAGTTTTAAGCTACCGGGTCCGGGACGCGAACCATGGTCGACTACGTAGGAGTCCAGCGTCATAGCCATTACGCTAACTGCTGGTCCCAGACCTAGTTATTGTCCTTTTAAATGCCTTCTCTCTAGTAGCCTAGGCTTTGGGAAGGACGTGAGGCATCACTGACATTTCCATCAAGGCAGGGTTGTGAAGGAAACCCTAGTGACACACAGGCTGGCCCCCGGGAGGCAGGCCCGGCTCAGCTGTGAGTGTGACGACCCACATGCAAAGACTGGCTGGCAGTGGGGGTGAAAAAGACAGAGGTAGAAATGAGAGCCCCCAGAATGGAACTGGGCCTCTTATAAAGTGTTTTGCAGTTTCATAGGCACTTTTTCTTTTTTTAAGGTTTTGATCGTTCTCTGGTGAGCACACATACCATATCCTATGGCAAAAAGTCTTTTAAAAACACCAAAATTTTGTTGTCGGGCTCATGTGCTGGCTAAAGAGACAGAGAGACAGAGAGACAGAGAGAGAGAGAGAGAATCATCCCCCAATTTTATGGCCATGCCATCACCTTGGATAGAGGAGAAGCGATCCCTTCTCCTCTATTCTTCTCTTGGAATTTTGGGCATGCATGCACATGTGCCTGGCATGTTTTTCAAGTCGTTGGACCTAGGACTTGAACCGTTCAATTGACCATGTGAGATCCATCCGCTGTAACCACCATGCCACTGGCTGACCCTGCTGTCTACATTTTGAGATGAATTTGTGTACAGAATGGAGCAGGGACAGGAATCCTGGCTCTTAGATGCTAGTCTTATGCTTACTCTGTCGCAATTAGAATTGAGAATGCTTAGAAAGAAATTTTGGTATTTGGGATTTTATTTTCACATTTCAAATATAATCTATCAAAATGCCACCATTTGGTACCCCCTTGGGTTTTTAGACAGATTTTATTATTATTATTTTATAAGCTCAAATCATTTAGCAACTGACTGATCATCATATACTTCAGCTTATCGTAATATACAAGTGGCATTTATGTGTCATCTTTAATTTGTGGTATTTTTAATGATCATACGGCATATAAACTCATGAGAAAATGGGAAAACTGGACAAATGAATGAATAGCAGTTCTGGAATGGACTCATTATATTCCATTTGTATTTTCGGGTATAGCAACTAGAAATGGGGGCAGAACGTGTAGTTATTTTCATTGACAGCTTTGAAGATCCTCTGTTCTCTTGCTCCTAAGCTAATGGCAAAGATGCATGCATGCACAGAAGGGAAATGATTTAGGAGCTGAGTAGCAGGGAACTAGACCAGGTTGCAGGGAGAAGCAGAAGATGGTACCAGAGGACTGAGGGAGAGACGGCAGTGATGAGGCAGGGGTCGTGGTGCCTGATGAAAAGACAGAAAAGAGCCTGTGGTCAGGAGGCTCCCATTTTACCTGCAGATTGAGTTCTGTGGGATTTTACCTGGAACGGGTCTTGGAAACACATTTCAGCCCTTTTTGTATTAACTTGGACAGCCTTAGTAGCTTTGTTGCCCTAGCTGTAAACATTTTAAAATGTGGAAGCTATGTAAATTATGCTCAAGTCATTAATAAAGTCAGTAAAAAAATCAAAGTAAGGCCTCATTTGGCAAGATAGAGAGATCACTATATATGTATATATCTCAAATATCGGTGCAGTTACTATTGAAGTCACCGACTGAAATCATTCTGAGAGTGGTTAAGGCCTTAACATCTTCATGTATCATCTTAATTTATTGTTTTTCATG